GACATCTGTCATACACGAGGTTTATTCGGACACATTCCTGCTCCGTTAGCTTGTATAGAGGACCCTTCTGATCGCCTCTATGTGTGTCTGTGGAGAGAATTATATCAGTCGGAGGACGCTAGGCTTTTGCAATATGACCCGACAGCATCTACTGATTACACTGAAAAGGAATCTGTAATTTGGCTCTCGTATATATGTGTAGTGTATTTTATGGTAATACGCAATGTCCTTGATAACCCTATTGAAAACGGTGCATACAATATAATATTAAATAAACATCTTACTAACATTTTGCCAGTAACATAGTTGTTGAGGAAAAGGTTTTGGGGTACGCCCAATCCAGTGCATGAGGCTGGTTGCCTTTTGGACGACTTTTTGCAGTGTTCGGAGGGCAGCAAGTTTGAAAATATCAAGACACCTAGGTCTTTGTGCGTGTTCACTTCTTTTAGTGGAACCCCATTTATGGTGTATTGGTGTTTTGGGAAGCGCCTCCGACCAGGTTCTAGTCGCACGACTACACATTTGGATACGTTAAACGCTAGAAGCCACTTGCTGGACCATGCAGCCAGCCTATTAACATCTCCCTGTAGTTTCCGCGAGTCATCAACGCAGCCGATTGTTTTCCAGACCTTTATATTATCTGCAAATATGATGCCACCGCATTCAAGGTCCGCAGGACAGTCATTTATATAGATGAGGAAGAGGAGAGGGCCCAAGACAGCCCTGCGGAACGCCTAATTTTACTGGCACCCATTCGGATGCTCTGGTACCAACGATCGCTTTTTGGAGCCTGCATGACAGGGAACTTTTGATCCACTTAAAAATGTTGCCCTGTATTCCACATTCCCTAATCTTCTGCAGCAGTCATCCATGAGGAAAGCTGTCAAAAGCCTTCCCAAATTCAACGAAGACGACGTCCACTGGACGGTCCTGGTCTATGGCCCATGTCAATTTTTCCTGCGAACAAAGACTGTTTGTAAGACAGGAGTGACCACGAAGAAATCCGTGCTGAGCAGCACGCAATAGGTCTCTCTGCTCCAGATACGACATTAGATGTGCTTTAATACGTCGTTCCATGACCTTGCACAAAATGCAGGCTAAACTAATAGGACGGTAATTTTCGGACTCCAGCCTGGATCCTTCTTTATAGATTGGAGAAATGTGGGCCGTGTTCCATTCCTCCGGCAGTTCGCCTTCTTTCGTGGACTTCCGAAATATCATGGACACCGGATCACACAGTACGTCAGCTAATTCTCGGAAGACAAGTGGATGAATTCTATATGTACCCGGTGATTTGGCAGGCTTCAGCCGGCCTAGTTCGGTTCTTATGAATGTGGGTGAGAAGAAACGATTGTCTTCCAATGCAGGACAGGAAGGATTTTGTCTTTTTTCTACGTAAGGCATTGGAGGGGGATTTTGTCACGAGTTAATACCGACTGAAAGAAACTGGAGAGGGCTGATGCTTTCAGGTGATCATCTGTCTCGGTTATTCCGTTTTGGGATGTCAGCGCTGAAATCGGGTCGCGATTGCTCTGGCCATTACGCATGTAACTATAGAGGATTTTAGGATACTCCAAAGACTTTTGCAATCTGCACAACTCATAGTTACTTCGAAGTCTACTAGACTCGCGTTTACACACATTCCGCTGTCGCTTGTATTCCTTCAGGCGTTCAGGACTCTCTGTTTGTCGACAGCGTATCCACACTTTATTTCTCCTCTTAAACGTGGTTTGCAGTTCCCAGTTCATCCACGGCGGACGGTTGCTTGTTTTCCTTCGTCTGAGTGAGCAGTTTAGATTGATGATTCTTTTGACCATTTACCTGAATGTGCTGCAGTAGTCGTTAACTGTTCCCTCAATGTTGTCCACGGTACTGCTGAGACTTGCGTTCGCAAGATGGAAAAATCCCCCTCCCAGACATTTGTTTGTAATTGTTCAGGTGATACAGGTTAGGAGAAAATGGAAAACTCGTAGAGCATCACAACATGGTCACTAGCACCCATTGGCGGGAGATCTTGTATATCCAGCACACTCTCCTCATCTCAAGTGAGCGCCAGGTCGAGGCAGTTTGAACGTTGCACTTCCCTAACACGTGTTTCGAGAGTTACATTCTGGAAAAGTAGTTTTTCTGCTGCCAATTCAAGCAAATATTGGCCGAATGTGTTCGATGGATCCGAAACCGTCCAAGCTTGCCAGCCGATATTGGGGGCGTTAAAGTCCCCGACAGTAAGGACGTCCCTGTTCCAGCAGGTTTTGTTCAGTTCCCTTAGGAGAAGGCTATCGTCTTCGGAAATCTGGTTTGGGGGACTATATACAACTGAAATCGCCAGGGGCCTGGCTTATTTAATGGAGTTAGTTAAAGATAAGAATTTCACTTCCGCTTTTGTTGTTGGATTTTGCTCAGGGACCGTGGTCAGGTTGTAGCTAACATAGACAGCAACCCCTCCTCCTTGGCCTTCCAGGTGGTAACCTCTGAGGGATACCTCATGATCTCCAATAGCTTCAGAAAGCCATGTTTCTGTCAAGGCGATGATATCTGGCGTGTGCTCGTCGTTCAGAGTCCTGAATTCATCCATCTTGTTAAACAGGCTTTGCACCTTCGAATACAGCCCCTTTAGTCAGAAGAAGAAGAAGAAGAAGCGATTGCTGGAACAACGTCTTTATTCGCCTGACGTTTCGGATTCTTACTTGAATCCATCATCAGAGACAGTAGCTACTGTCTTATGATGCTACTGTATTAGTAGCTACTGTCTCTGATGGTGGATTCAAGTGAGAATCCGAAACGTCAGGCGAATAAAGACCTTGTTCCAGCGATCGCTTCTTCTTCTTCTTCTTCTTCTTCTTCTTCTTCTTCTTCTTCTTCTTCTTCTTCTGATCAACTAGTTCCTGGAACTCGCGGCCCCTTTAGTGTCCGTCTTCTCGGAGGGAACCGGCCCTGATTACAAAGGAAGTTAGCCACAGGAACGATCGCTTGATCTTTATTGTCTTGTCTTCCTTTATTTTCGATCCCTTCTCCCCCTCTTCTGTCCTTCTTTTCAGTTCTGTCCAGAGTCATGAGTTTATCATCGCAGTCACCAGAATGGCCGCCCACACTGGAAACAAAACAGACCGGGAATTAATGGAAGCCTGGGCCTCAGATGGTAACTTAGTCAATCGATTGACCCATCTGGTTCCGGCGTACAGAACCCTGCGCAGTCATCTCCAATCTTGCACCATCGATCGATGATTGGCTGACACGCCCTATAACTGCCGCTTGTTCTATCGCTGATACTATCTTTGACGATGGACTCCTGGACGAGTTCGAGAGCTCAGGGCCATAAACAGAATGCGCCAGGGCTCGAGCACCCTTTTTCTTCACTTAAGTAAGTGAGTTTCCTGTCTCGATCAACGTAGACAGTTTATGTCTTCGCCCGCACAGCAACGTTGTAAGGGTTAGCGCCATCTACATGTTGAGCTTCCTGCTGATTCGAAGCCCGTTGCAGTTCCAGACGAAGCTCTGCAGTCCGCCAAAGGCCTCACTGGCTTTGGAGATCCACTTGGTCACAACGTCGTCCTTCTTGTTGTTGTTATTTGTTGAAATGGGGCTTCCTAGACAGGGGTAACTGTTCACGTTTTTGTGTTAGATGGCGTTGACAGTGATGCGATGGGCGCTGTATTTAGTGTTGGGTGACGGCTGGTGCGTGACCGCCGTGCCTCCGGAGTTGATGGCCAGCCCCAAGTTTGCGCAGCTGGGGATGAAGATGCCCATGATTCTTTGCACAACAGTTTCTGTCGAAGCATTTGGTGCACAGTCGTCTGTGCGGAGGGCTTCATGAACAGTGATGTTTTAAGTTCGCGTGGGTAGCCGCATTCGTTGGGTCTCTGGAATCTGGCCGACAGCTCCGTAGACGATGCGAATGCCGGGCGTTCTTCACGGTACGTATCCAGCAGCATGTGAAAGCACACGAGACTAAGAAGGTGTGTGTGTGTGTGTGTGTGTGTGTGTGTGTGTGTGTGTGTGTGAGAGAGAGAGAGAGAGAGAGAGAGAGAGAGAGAGAGACAGAAGGAGAGAGAGAGATTACGCGTCCTTGTTTCTGAAACTGCCTCACAGTCTGTGACAAGCGTCATCATCCCGTCGTGGAAGTAAAGCCTCACATGTGTGAGCCATCAAGGACAGACGAATTTCTGCATGGTTTTCCAGAGTCCGGCGCTCCTCATAGTGTCGAAGGCTTCCGTCAGGTCCACGAAGGTAGAGCCGAAGTCCGTGTGGATTTCCTGGCACTTCTGTTGTAACAAGCGGGCGGCAAAAATCATGTTGGCAGTTTCACCATGTAGTCGGAAGTCGAACTGAATTTCCCGGAGAAGTCCGCGTTCCAGATGGTCGTTGAGATGATTAAGAAGGATGCAAGCGAAGATCTTTCCAGAATTGTCAAGCAGCGAGATCCCTTGCGGCTATCCTACAGTTGCCGGTCCCCTTTCCGCTTGTGCAGACGGACGATGGTTACGTCGTTGAAATCTGGAGAAACTTGTCCATGATGTCGCATCTCTTGGAAAAGCCGTGTGCGTTTATGCATCAATTGAGAGCTGTCATGCCTGTGATTCCGACCAGGACTGCGTCCGACCCCGGTGATTTCCCGCTGAAGTGCGGTTGTAGGGCTCTGATGGTTTCTGGATGAGAAGACCAGGGGTTCAGGTCATTGTTCGCTTCAACCTGGGAGACTCGGTCAATGGTGGCTTTGGAGACTGGGGATTAACCGTTGAGTACGGTTCTGAATCTTCAGGTCTCTCCATGGGGAGTGTTGTTCCGTCAGAGTTGGGAAGTGGCGCCGTTCCTTCGGCTGTAGGACCGTAGGCCGTCATGACTGATGCAAAGAAATTCTATCCGCTGACCCAAAGATTTTCTCGTCCCTGCGTTCTGCCCGAGGATCCTGCATCTTCCGCAATCGTTGTTGTTAAAGGAAGCGACATATGAAGGTCACCCTTTTTGCGTTGGCTCCGCAGCCTATCCTTATCTGAGAGCTGATTGTAGATTACTTCATCTTTCACGTCGAGCTGGTCGTAATATAAACAGCCTAGGCGATCGCGAACGCCCAGGCGGCGGAATAGATGACGTCCTGCGGTTGGTACCACTGTGTTTCTACGGTGCCGTTGTTGTTCGCAGTCTGCAGTTTTTTGAGGAGATTAAGTAGTTGATTGGTGAGATCGAAGCGGTGAGGAGACACATTTAGCAGGACATTACTCAACTAATCCACCGGTCTTTTGCCTCGTGGTCCCCTGTGAGGTTGCATTTCGTTGCAAGCGGTGGTTTATCCAACCGTCGACGTCGCAGATCGCCTTGGTGATCAGCACGTCCCGTCAATCTCGCCTCCAAACGAGGACGTAGTCCAACAGCTGCCAGCGCCGCGGGCAGAGTTGCACCGGGGTTGTATTCTCAAGTGTCGAAGGAGGGCAGAAAGCGACGATCGACAGGAGACTATGTTCTGTGCTGGTTTTCTAAAAGAGGAGGCCGTTGTCACTGCAGACGCCAAGTCCGTGGGGACCCGACACTTCCCGGGCAGCTTGATCTGTCCCGAGGCGGACATGGAAGGCACCAAGGACAATCGATTTGCCCGCCCTCTGCACAGTCGTCAGGAGGGCATTCAGGTCGTCGTCTAGTTTGTTGTTCACCTCGTCGGAGCTGGTCAGCGATAGGCGTATGAACTGATGGTGGTAGCGAATTTGTCTCCCTGAAGAGGCAGGCCTTTAATGACCTGCGGAAGACAGGGTAGTCGGCCCACGAAGTCATTCCGGATGGCAGAGACAACGCCTGTACTTTGGTGTACCTATTACCAACCGCCTCCAGCTGCTGTCCATGTTCGGGAAGCCGATTCGTCCTGAAAGCGGCACTGGCCGCCTCGTAGCGCCAGTTCTCGAACGACCAGCGGCGTTCTCCTTTGCGGCCGGTTGTTCCGCGAACTGTCTAATAGGGAATGGACATTCCAAACTGCCAAAGTAAGCAGTGGCTTGGTCAGCCTATGAGGTGGGGCGGTGGGGGTGTGGTCAAGGGTTGTTATTCGGTTGATTGTTTTTACTGAGTTGTACATCTGTGGGCGACGGTCAACGTGCAGGTGGAGTGATCACAACATTTTTTGGGAAAAGTTTTCTAACCCTTTCCCCCCAGCAATGCTGTCCCTAAATAGGGCTTTCTAGACACCCCAAACGTCTAACAAACTCCACTATGGGTCACTGATTTGTTTAGTGGGAGGGTAATCTTAGTTGGCCTGGACCGCCTACGTGATTGCCTACTCCGTAGGACTTTTTAAAAGTGCGAAGGAAGAAGGGTGGATTGCGAAGAGGGGCGGAATTGTCGGGTGTAGAAGCACACAACATCGAATACTCTCACCTGGTTTAGCCCACCGCTCTCGACGGTTGCTGGGGGGTAGCCGATAGGCAGGGCATTGTTTCAGGTAGCCGCAGATGGCATTTGGATGTCCGTCTAGGGCCGCACGGAGTAGCCACCACCTGCAGAATGCCCATGCTGCGACCTGCTACACCTACACAGCTTACCCCTGATTAGACACCTCGTACATCGCCGGTAGTGATGTGAAAAGACGTTAACTATCAGCAGTACAGGGAGTTAAACTCCTCCAACATTCTCTCTGTCAGCGCAAACCGTCCATCCACGCAAGACAAAGTGCCCTCTTCTTACTGATTAGACATCGCACACTTCATAAGGCCAATTACGGTTAAGGATTGAGTCGTGTACATCTGCAAATTTTTGTGAAACACGCGCCCCTTCTTCTACGATCATCTGAGAAGGGTAAGTGGTTTCACAAAATTTGAATATTGACTTCATAACCCGAAGAAGCTTATTCAAGCAACCCGGAGAAACGGGCTCAGGAGATCGGAGTGGGTTCACTTCCAATAGTCCACTACTCTGTTCAAGGTGAAAGAGCATTAACATTGAGAATTGGAGAACCGGATTCGGGTTGCTTTAATGTGCTTCACTGCCAGCTTGTCGTTTTTCTTTTAACTGGCGCGTTTGGCGCGCGGAATTTAATAGTCACTGAAGAAGTCAGCAGGGGACTGGTTATTTTGGTACCTGGTTGTATATCCGAGTTAACACACGACTCGACCACAGTTTTCACGTGTGTCGACGGGATTGCCCCATAAGCTTGTCGTATACATAACCTTACAGGCCCTGGATACTTTATCGCGTTCGCGCATGTAGTAAAGTACGCGAGGTCGAGATGCCGGTCGCCTGTACTAGAGTTTTATACATTAGAAAACCCTATTAACAGCAGCAACAACAAGGCACGTGTCAAGGCAAGGATGCGTCCATGCGCTTGCGCTTGTGCGCGCAGGAAAGCCGTCGTTGCAGTCATCCTCGGGTCGTTGCAGACATGTTGTTGCGCTCAAGGGGCAAGGATGCGTCCATGCGCTTGCGCTTGTGCGCGCAGGAAAGCCGTCGTTGCAGTCATCCTCGGGTCGTTGCAGACATGTTGTTGCGCTCAAGGTCAGGCGAGAGAGAGAGATGACCTTGGCTTGACAGTCAACCAGAACCTCGCTGATTTCTGATTGGTCCGTAACTTGCCCGGCTGACGGGTTGTGCGCGAGTAGGCTGATCAATGCGAGTCGAACGAGAA